CTGCGGGTCCGGGCCTGACCAGGCCCAAGCCCCTGTGCTGTCTGAAGCCAGATCCAGGGCCCTGACCCTGCACCAGGGAGCGCCTCCCTTTCCTCCTAGCAAGTGTCCCCTACCTGTCCCCAGGGTCAGGACCCCCGAGCGGGTGTCTGGATAGGGCTGGGGTGCAGCCGTCCCCACATGCTGGCTGCCCTGGCGCCCCATGGGGGACCACAGCTGGCCATGCTGGAGCTGGGGACAGCGGGGGCAGCCTCCTCCGGGGCTTCTCCCACTCCCTAGGAGCTGGTTACAGGCCCCGGGGAGTCCCCAGCTGGGTGGGGCCCTCAGGAGGAGGACCCCAGGGGACGCATCGGGAGGGTGTGGCCGGGGTGAGGGGGCACGGCCCCCAGGAGGACTTCTGTCCCCAGCAGGCCTGGGGGCGCTGGCCCTCCCACCCCACTTTCCAGCGGAGCTAACCGAGGCGTGACGCCCCCTGTCCCGTGTCGCTGTCCAGGGGTGGGGCGGCCCCTCCCCCTGTCCCTTGGGTCCCCGCCAGGGTCTCCGTCCTCGTCTCACCGCAGCCCCGGCCTCGGCCTTATCGGGCCCGGCAGCTTCCGCCGCCCCCGGCCGGGACCAGCGCGGCGTGGGGACAGGGCCGCCAGGTGCGGCGGAAGTGCGCGGCCGAGGTCCATGCAGACGGACCCCGCGCACCACCCAGAGAAAGGGGAGAGAAGGGGAGACACCGAGAGAAAGTGAAGCAGCCCCAGCTAGAGGGATCAACCCCGCGGAGCCCCAGAAGCGACGCAGCCCGCAGGAGAGCAGGCTGCAGCGGGAACAGGCAGGACAGAGGAAAGGAAGGCGCTGTCGCACGGACACCCAAGGGCCGCTCAGCCTGGGGATGCAAATGAAGGGCACCCTGAGGTGCTATTTTGCACCTCTGCAGGGCCGGTTTAAGAAGCTGGGGCTGCAGGGGCCACAGGACTGCCCAGCTGCAGCCAGTCAGAGCGCAACTGCAGCCTGCGCCAGGGAGAACTAACAGCTGATTTCCCACAGCTACAAGTCGGGGCTTGACCCCAGCAGAAGCGCCGCGGTGCCGGGCTGCAATCCTCACTCCCGCCCGGCTCCGCGAGCGAGTCCCCGGGAATGGCCACTGCCTGCTGATTACTCAAGGATGGAGAAATGGACGAAGGAATGAATGAACGAAGTAGATTCACTCCCAGGGTGTGCACCACGGGGCAAAGGAAGCAGGTGACCCTCTGTGTCACACAATGTCACAATGACTCAGTCCCACATTGTGGGGTGAAGAAACCTAACAGTTCCCGAAGACAAATGCCCTTTGGCGGAGTTCACAGCCAAACCCGATCTTATCTCTATAAATAACAGTGTCCGCCTTCCCTCTGGTACTTGTCCTGTTGGGGATGATCTCACCTACCTAAGAGACAAAACTAAGTGTTAGGCAATTGTGAGAACTCAGAAAATGTAGTTGGTTTGAAAGGAAATAAAATAATTCCTCGAACAAAATAATAAAATAATTTGCCTTCTTGTACACTATCAACTTGCTCAAGGCTGGGCGTGACGGCACACGCCTGCAATCCCAGGACTTGGGAGGCTGAGGCAGGAGGATTGCTGCAAGATCAAGGCCAGCCTGGGCTACATAGTGAGACCCTGTCTCAAAACACAAACAAAACAAAACAAAACAAAACAAAACAAAAGTTGTTTAAAATATAATGGGAAATATCTTATTCAAAATATCCACAAAGAGTCAGGGATGTAGCTCAGTGGCACAGTGCCTGCCTGGCAAGCACAATGTCCTGAGTTCGATTCCCAGTACCAAAAAAAAAAAAATCCACAAAAATGTAAACTATTTAAGTAGTAAATTTGTTAATAATTATGTAGTGCCAGGCTTGGTGCCCAAGAGCAAAAAGGCCGCGGGCAGGGGAAGGAGGTCGAGGCCGGTCCTGACCTGTTACAGTGAAGGCTGACTTGCTGTGTGGGATTACACCAGAAGCTTGCAGTGGAGTAATCGAGCAACCTTAAATATCTCAGCTGAGGGGATATAGCTCAGGGGCATAAGTGCTTGCCTAGCAAGCCTGAGGTCATGAGTTCAATTCCTGGTACCAAAATATCTCAGCTGTATAGGAGCATATTCTATTGCAGAAGACCTTCCTGTGAAGATCATGGAATCAAGTACGGGACATTAAACTAATACTTGGACTTTGATATGAATTTCTTTAACAATTTTCTCTGCAGTGCAAGTTATTAAACAAAAGCCATTCTATTTTCCAAATGTGTTCCCACAGAAATCCTTCATAACTTCAAGCATGGTATCTTAATAAAGTTCTTCTCTTTAAAAAAAAAAAATTGTTGTCATCCTGCTCCTCTCAGCGGCTCTGCGTGTTTATAATTCCAGCTATTCAGGATGCTGAGACAGGAGGATCGAAAATTGTAAGCCAGCCTGGGCAATTTAGAAAGAGCTGGGGATATAAAAAAGGCCAATTCAAATACAATACTGTCTAGTCATATATACAGATGTGAGAAGACTATTTTTTTTTAAAGCTGAGCATGACGACTTACCCCTGTGATCTCAGGTACCTGGGGGAAGCTGAGGCAGGGGGATTGAAGATTCAAGGGTAGCCTGCCCAACTCACTAAGACTCTGTTTCAAAATGATATAAAAAAAATTGGTTCAGTGGTAAAGTGCGTACCTAGTCCTGGGTTCCATCCCCAGCACCCCCCACATACACACACACGGGACATCATCATAACACTCAGGTTCCCCCAAGCAGAAGTCAAGGAGATGGGACAGGGGAGGGATGACTGGTGAAGAAATATGTAAATAAACACAGAAATTAAAAGAATTTGGGCACGGTGGCACACACCTGTCATCCCAGCACTCAGGAGGCTGAGGCAGGAGGATCGCCATGAGTTTGAGGTCAGCCTGGGCTACATAGTGAGTTCAAGGCCAGCCCAGACTGCATGGTGAGACCTTGTCTCAAAAAATCCAAAATAAATAAATAAGAGCCCTCCATTCGCCAGGCGTCATGGCGCATGCCTGTAATCCCAGCACTCCAGAGGCTGAGGCAGAAGGATTGTTGCAAGTTCGAGACCAGTCTGGGCTACAAAGTGAGCTCAAGGCCAGCCTGAACTGTAGAGTGAGACCCTGTCTTGAAAAGGACAAAAAAAAAATTTAAAAAGAGCCCTCTATTAGCCAAGATGACAATGCATAAAAACTCAAGGGTTTCAGCTATTATCGGAAAGGGAAAGGGAGCCGTTACATTCATCTGTAGACTTTTATTGAGACTATAAGCCAAAGCTGGTTCTTTCCAGAATCCCACACTGGAAGAGGAAGAGACAGGTGGATATCACAGACGGGGTGAAGGGCCCCAAAGTCAGTGGCCACTGGGAGCCCTCAGGCTGGGCGGACCAAGAAGGCTCCAGGGAGGAGGAGGCCTGGTAAGCAGGCTGGATTTCCGCTGGGCATAGCGGTGCATACTTGTACTCCCACCACTCTGGGAGGCTGAGGCAGGAGGATCCCAAATTCAAGCCTGGCCTGGATAATTTAGTGACTCGGCAAGAATTTGTCTCAAAATAACAAATGAAAAAGGGCTGGGGTTGTAGCTCAGTGTGAAGGCCCTGGATGTGATCCCCAGTGCCACCAAAAATAATAAAGTAAAAAGGAAAGAAAGAAAATAAACCCTACCCATACGTAGCCAGCAAAGAGAGGGCGTGGTCCCACCCTGCGTCTTCCATGCATCTATTTTTTTCATTTCTTCAACATGGTTTTTACACCCCTGCACCTGTGCACATAGAGAATATCAACATCAAACCCTCACCTATGTTTTGTTTTGTTTTTGTTTTTTTCCGGTACCGGGAACCGAACTCACGACCTTGCGCTTGCCAGGCAGGCGCTGTGCTGCTGAGCTAAATCCCCAGCCCCAAACTCTCACCTATGAAACTCCCCACCGTTGGGCATGGTTCTGAGCACATCCAGTCCTCACAAGAGTCCGGCACAGGGAACAGGGATCCGCATATGGGAGAGGAGACTGAGGCGTGGGGGGGTAATGTCATCTGCCCCAGGAAGTTGGGCACCAGAATCTTTTTGTCTTAACCACCAAGCCAGACCAGAGAGAGACGAACAGAAGCACACACACAGGAGCAGAGATGGATTTTATAGCTATAAAAAGTGTGTGTGTGTGTGTGTGTGTGTGTGTGTGTGTGTGTACATGTATGTAACTGCAAGATTGTCAGGGTAACTACCATCTTCATTTCTTCAATATTTGCCATTTGTGTTGGGAGCCTACAAACTCCTCTTTTCTAGTTCCTTAAAATATATACAAAGCTGAGTGCAGCGGCACGCGCCTGAAGTCCCAGCTATTCAAGAGGCTGAGACAGGAGTGCCTGAGCCCAGGGACTGAGACCCAGCTGGGCAACATAAGGAAACACATAAGGAGCTGCTGTAAACGGTAGTCACCTCCCTGACGGACACTAGCGTCTTCCTCCGCGGGCGGTTTGCTGACTCCCTCCCCCTCCCCTCCCTTCACCGTCCTACCCTCCAGCGCCCGCAGAGCTACTTCTAGTGTTTTCATATCCAAGTCAGCGTTTTAAACCGCCCCTCTGTGCCTGGTCAGCGCTCCCCGGCTCATTGTTCCACCCCCACCCCCAAGGTGCTTTTGGTTTTTTTTTTGAGACAGGGTTTTCCTCTGTAGCCCAGGCTGCTCCTGATTTCGCAGCGATCCTCCTGTCTCAGCCTCCTGAGTGGGAGTGCCGGGATCACAGGTGCGCATCACCAGGCCCGCCAGGAGGTGTGTGTTAGTTTCTTTAACCCGACAGCCTGATGGTAGAAGTCCCAGGCCGAGTGGGAGAGGGCAGTGAGTGAGCGGGCAGCCAGTGGGCAGCCAGCGGCATTTCGGCAGGGCCCGGCCCATCCCGTGCCCCAGGCAGGAATGCTGACATTATTATTGTGAAATCATTTGCATATTGTGAAGCGCTTTGCATACGAGGGCCTGATGTGCCCGTGGGGGTGCGCCCCAGAGGCCCTGCGCAGACCCCCGAGTCACCCCTTCTCCAAGCACCTAAGGACTCTGCAGAGCTGTGCGCCCGGTGGCGGAGGAAGCTGGGCCTGAGGTAGGACAGCGCCAGCTCAGGGGCTCAGCCGAGTGCCCTCCGCGGGTGGGCACAGCCCTGCCCCGCTGAGACCCGCGCGCCCTTCCTGAGCTCCCCCAGGCTGGCCGGGCCCGAGAGCCAGGCTTTGTCAAGGCTCTGGATGCGAATTCCGATTCTGCCGTCCGTGCCACCGTGTGCGCCTAGGCTAAGGAGAACGCGAGGACCGGGTGAGATCATGCCAGCCGCGTGGGTGGCACCTAGCAGGAGTTTGGGAAGCCTCGGTTGCCATGGTAACATCCACGAAGCGCCCCCACTGGTCTGCGAGAAGAGCTCTGGGGTTCCGAGGCGCAGGACCCAGCTACCCGGTGTTGGACCCCAAAGGGTTACACGTCCTGGGGACAGTGGCCTGAGGTTCCCAGTGAAAAACCAAAGCATAAAAATAATTCGATGAGTAAGAATAAAATTCCCTCTTCTGCGGCTCCCGGGCCAGGCCCCTCCCTGCGGCGGGCACTTCCCCTTTTCCCGCGCGTGGAGCAGCGCGGCCCCGCGCCTCGGCTGGAGCGCCCAGCGTCCTGCCGTCGCGGCGGCTCAGCGCGCCC